AAAAGACCACAACAAAAAAAACCCCAACCATACAGAAACCACACACTTGGGCACATATTGCATAAATGTCTGTGTGGGCTCTCTGCTGCCTGATGCTTATTTGAGCGTCAAGTGTTGAAAGACACCATGGAAATCACCCAAAAGCACGCGGCAGCAGGTCACCAGTGACCGGATGGCCGATGATTGCAGCGGGGAATATCCTTCTGCCCCCCTCCCCGCTCCCGGGCACGGCTTCAGCCTGTGGGGGAGCCGAGCTGCCAGGAGGGAGCGGGCAAGGTTCTGCGAGCCGGGTCAGGGTGTCCTGCTCCACGGGGCCCGGAGCCTGCTGTCCGCGACCAGCGAGGGCGGCTGGAGCTGAAGCCCGGCCTCTGAGCACCCGGCAGCCCTTCGTTAGGATCTTCGAGAAAAGAAAAAATAATCCCTCCTCATCATTGATAGTTTGGGGGTCCGTCCTCACCATGGGGCACATCCGATCTATCGCAAAGGGCACGTTCACCGTGCCCGCCCCTGCCCGTGAAGCGGTGTGTAGAGGACCTTGCTGCTTTGGGGGCCAGTCTGGCTAACCACTATCCTTAGCTCCCCAGGCTGTCCCACCCAGCCCGAGACGGAGGTGATGGGTGGTGTCAAAGGCTCCTATCCCTCTGAAATCCATCTCTTCCCCGGCAGAGGCGGATTGCTCTGCCGCTTCGGCCGCTGCTCCAGCCGCGGGGGCTTGAGCCGTGCGCGGCCGGCAGCGGGAAGCGCGGGGCCAGCCGGCAGCTCCCGCTGGGCTGAGCGCTCCCCAGAGCCGCCGGTGCCCCGATCGATATGCCCGCTTCAATGTCACAGCCGCTGGGCAATGGAAACATTCCATATCGTGGGGTGGCCTTGATAAAAGTATATTTTAAGTAGCGTGGATAAGGCGAAGGGGAGAAGAGAGGGGGAGAGGTGCCGGCGCGTCGCCCGTAATAACCGCTGAGCTTATCAGCCCGGCCTAAACTCCCCAGCAGTTTCTAAAGTACATTAAGTTACATAAACACGTCTCGGAAAAGAATACACTCCAGCCTGCGATAGTCACCAAAGTGACCCCTCGCACCCGAACCCGCCGGGCCCCCGGGGACCCAGCGCCACGGGAGCATTGTGGCCCGGCCCGGCCCGGCGGGCGATGCCCGCTGCTCCCGGGACTGTCCGGGCCGAGGCGCAGCTAGGGTGAGGCCGGACCGAGCCTTCCCCTCCTCCCTAGAGCACCCCTGGTAAGGGATCACGTTTGCGGAGACCCGAGAGTGGGGGAAGGAGCAATAGCTCTGCGCTTGCACACGGCTTACCCCCAACCCTTTTTTGGGAGGTTGAAGTGCCCGCGAGGGAATTTGCCTTAATTGGATACGAAACTTTTTTCCCCCCAATCTGCCTTCTTCCCTCTTTGGCCACAACGACCAGGAGCGGTGGTCACCTCGCTGGCACCGGTCTTCCCGCAGCCGAGCACCCTCCTGCCCTCAAAAATATCCCTGCACATGCACCCCCGGGTACCTAACCCAGGCATGGCGCAGGAGATACCTGAGAGCCTCCCGGAGTCCCGGGGTGAAAGTTACGTCAGCAGAGCGGGATTTGGGAAAGGAGTGACGTAATGAAGAGTTAGGAGTCCATGATTTGAGCGGTTCGACAGCAAACCCGAAACGAAAAGGAGTGGAGAGGAAAGGGGTGACTGGGAATGGTTTCCCACGCTGGTCTCAATCTAAGCCGGGTTTTCTTATCTAGTTTATCGGAGGAAATAAAATGAAACTTGTAGCCCGGTTATAACGTAAACAGGCTAATCGGCAGGGAAAAAAAACAAGGCGCCTGAGCGTAGAACACAGGTCACTTTGGAGCCAGGGAAAGAGGCGCCCGCCAGGCCAACGCGGCTGTTCTTCTCAGCCATCCTCACCTTTCGGGCAGGCACTCTTCTGGCCCGGGCGGGTCCCCACCACCCCCTCCCAGCGAGTAAAACCCGTCTCTTGAAAAAAAAAAAAGTCACGATATTTCTCGCTTTATATCCATCTTTACACGTGTTTGAAGTACCTTCGTGTTTAACTGGAGAAGGGGCATCCAAAAGACTGAAAGAAAACGAGGGGTTTAAAACTCGGCGCTTTTCAGCACAGAAATTTGTAGTGGCAGCACCCAAGCTGGGGAGAAGCGGCGTGGGCATCGACTCTCGCAGCTTCCACCGCTCGTCTCACATTTGCGGGTAAAAACCACGGCAAAAATATTTTGCGTTTCAAGCTAGAATCGGGAGACGAGACGGGCAGAAAACAAATCACTGCCCTTTCTTGCAAAAGCTTACTGTCTATTTAATATTGTATTCACTAAAATACATCTAAAAGTAAAAAGGAAAAAAGTCACTTCAGCCTGGCAGGGTTATCGATATTATTTAACGACATTATTTAGAGACAACTGACAAGAAAGAAGTATCACCTTTAATCATACAATTTAATAAAGGAACGGTTTCTCGGGAAAGTGATTGTTTTCCGATCAAACCCCTGCCGCGCTATACCACAAAAATTAACGCGCACAATAAATTTCCAAGTCACCATCAGTTCACCCACGCCGGCAGAGCGGATCGCTACAGCCAGTGTTTTTACCGTACCCCCAGCACTGCAAATTCTTCACCTCCCGTTCACCTCGCCTGGAAAGACCGAAAGAAAAGCCGTGCCTACCCCAGGAGCGACAGCACCGTGCATCAGCAGGTTTGGGCTCGGTTTCTGTCGAGAGGGCTCATGCCTGCCGGTTGCCGAGAGCCCGGCTCTGCTCTAGTCCAGCCCTTTGCCGCAGATGACTTTCTGTACAAACTGATGATGACAGATATCCAGCTGATAACCTCTGGTGAACGAAGTTATTTTAATTTCCAGTCACTTTCCTGCTAAGTACCATATCAGTTTGTACACAGCCGAGATAAGAGGGTTGAGGAGCGGGGGGGTAATAAGAAAGAAACGGAGGAAAAATGCCTCCCGCCAGCTGTTGGGATGGACACATCCCACAACTTGCTTTGGCTTCACCTGATGGTTGGGGCAACTCAAGGAGGAGCCACATTTTTTCATCTCGGATAGCTCGGATTTTGACCAGCAAAAACGAAGGAGATTTGAGGGAAGGACACGTTCTCCTGGTTGCTTAGGGCGAAAGCCAGGCACACATCCCCCCCAGGGCCGCTCCCCGGGGATATTCGTTGACATGCCGGGAGGCGCGGAGGAAAAAAAAAAACCCAAAACCTTACAAAAGTTGAATAATCACCATTAAAAAAGATTTTATCCGAGAAGGAGGGAAGAGTGTGTATTATTTCTGAGTTAAAACAATTTTTTTAAAAAAGAAGAAAAAAGGCTGGGGCATCTGACAGAGCCAGCCCTCTCTGCTCGCTCCCGCTCCCCGAGCAGGGGTCTGTCTCCTCTTGGCTGCTGGCGCCCCGAGGTGCCCCCCCTCCCCCGCCCCCGGGGCTGCGGCGGCCCGGCTGGCCCCGGGACTGGCACCCCTGCGGAGCCCCGTGTTTGTTTAGGGCTGGCCGAGCCCAATCAGGGCCGGCTGCCTGCAGTTTTCCGGCAGGGCTGCGAGAGGCGCCTCCTCTCTCCTTTTTATACATGAGCCGCCGGCCGCCGCCGCCGGAGTCGCCGCCGCCACTCGCCCCCGCCGCACTGGATTTACCGCCCGCCGCGGCCCCGCGCCCCGGCCCCATGCGGGACACCGGCATCAGGTTTGGCCCCTCTCTTTCCTTGCCTCGCCGCGGTTTCGCTTGTTCTTTCTCGGTCTTCTGCCGCTGCCTCTCTGTCCTCGGGCGCTCCGAGGGGAGCGCGGCGGCGGCGGCTGCCCCTGGCTGGGGGAGCCCGAGGGAGACTGTGTGGGCAAACATCCGATGCCGGTGCCTGGAGCTCTTATCTGCCGGAGCCTTATCTCCCAGTTATCTCGCAGGAGGGAGAGACGTATTTGGTGCCTATCTGCGAGGGGGCTCTGTGTGTGTGTCCTGTATTCTTGTGCCTGTGGTTATCTGGAGAGCCCCGAGGTGGGCTGAGAACGGAGAGCCTCGCCTTCTCTTGCTGTCACTTCTCTGTGTCCCCTTTCGCTTTCTGCCCGTTCTCCCAGGGGCTGGGCACCAGGCTCTCTGTGTCTGTCTGTCCGGCTTTCATCATGCTGCCAGCTCCGAATTGACACCGCTGGGCTCGGGACGGGTGTCACTCCCGCAAGGTGTGTTGGGGCTCGGGGCAAGCCCCCAGACAGGGCTGTCCGCTGGATCCAGCCGCTACGGCAGGCACATCCCGCCCGGCCTGGGTCCGTGTCCCGCCGCCGCCGCCCACACTTCGGGCCAGGCCCGCGCGCATCTCCCGTCTCCCGGGTGCCTTTCACTCCTCCTTCTCCTCCTTTCCGTGACCTTGGGCTGGAAATAGGCAAACAAGCGAGGCGATGCGCGGAAGAGCTAACATCGCTCTCCGGCGAAGTAACCTTAAAGAGATCGCCTTACTAATTGTTTTCTCGGTGGAACCGAGTCAAATGACTCATTCATTGAAATAATCATAACAACGACAGCAGCCAAGGAATGGCCGAGACAGGGAAAAATGCCCCCTCGCTCCCCTCTGTCCCCACGCCCTTACGCCCACCTTTGCCCCGGCGTGCTTCATGTTCAAATCCGCAGCCCGGGATGCGAAGGGAGAGGGGAGTAGCCCTCCCGCGGTGCGGAAAGCGGGGCCGGAGCCCTGGCCCCTCGGGACTGGCGTCTCCCGGCTCGTCTTGACCTGGGCTGCCTGATCCCATTCCGCCAGGGCGAGGGACAACAGCGCCGAGGCGACATGACTGATTAAGCGCTTAGAGGGGCCAGATAAGCCCTGATGAATCTCATTACGGGAGGGAGACGGACTGTCCTGTTTGCAAACTTTGTTATTATTATTTCTCTCTCCCCCACTTCCCTGCTCTTTTGTGTCCTCCTTCCCCTCCCTGCCCTGCCGATCCCCCCCTCCCCTCCTCCTCCCCCTCCCCTCCTCGCCCTTCCCCATCCACACCCAGCGGCTAGAAGGGGACCTGGATGGCCGTGGCTGAAGGCGGCTGGTGCGCGGTGAAGCGGTGCGCTGCGGACGCCAGCGCTTCCTCCTGTCCCTTCGCGACCAGGGAGCCGCGCCCGTCTCCTCCTTCGCCCTCCTCCTCCTCCGGCTCCCAGGGTGAACGCGGCTCCTCCAAGACTCCTCGGCCGGAGACCGACGACAGCCACCGGCCGGCCCCGCCGCCGCCCCCCGCCGCCGAGGGCAGGTCGCTGCTCGCCCCCTACGTACACTTCGGGACCCCGCACCCCTCCGGCCGTCCCAGCTGGGAGGACATCCTGCTCTTCGCGGACTTAGACCAAACCAACAAGCTGATCTGGTCCAGCCGCGGCCCCAAGCTGAGCGCCCTCGGCGCCGAGCAGCCCGAGGAGATGTACCAGACCCTCGCCATCTCGGCCGCCCAGGGCCCCACGCCTTACGACGGATCTCCGGGCGGCTTCATGCACTCCACGGCCAGCTCGCCCGTCTACGTGCCCACGACCCGCGTGGGCTCCATGCTGCCCACGCTGCCGTACCTGCAGGGCAGCGGGGCGGCCCAGCCCAGCCACCCGGGCGGCGGCCACGCCGTCTGGTCCCAGCCGGCCGCGGAAAGCCCTTCGTATAGCAGCGGCGGCGGCTCCCACCCCTCGGGCCGCTTTCCCTATTCCCCAAGCCCGCCGGTGGCCAACGGGGCCTCCCGGGAGCCCGGCGCCTACAGCAACAGCCTGGGCGCCAGGGACCAGTACAGCCCCCTGGCCCGGCCGCTCAATGGCTCCTACCCGGGGCCTTACACGTCCTACGTGGGGCCGCAGCTCGCCCCTGCCTGGCCCACGGCGCCCTTCGAGAACTCCATGCTGCACTGCCTCCAGGGCCGGGCCGCCCCCATCCCCGTCCGGGCACCCAGCGCAGGTAGGAGCCGCGGGCAGGGCAGGGCAGGGCAGGGCAGGGGGGGTGGCCGCATGCCGGGGGTGCCCCTGGGGCGGCGGGGGTGCCGGGGGGCGCGGGGAAGCGGCGGTAGGGCCGCCCCGGCCTGGGGTGAGCTGGAGAGGGGCGGCCCCGGTGTCGGTGTCAGCCCGGGACCATGGCTGTTCTGGAGTGGAGGTAACTCCCGTCGTCTCTGTTGGATTAGGGGGAAAATACACCTCCAAAAAGCGGCGTTGTTTGAAGTATGGCAATCGGGGTTACCACCCGAAAGATCCCAAAACGAATTGCCCGGCGTAAACTTAGTTTTTAATTTATCCAAATCAGTACATTCCTGCTTTCCCTAAATGCGGTCATCTGGACGGTGACAAATTCACTGCAAATTAATCGTTCTTATATCGCAGAGGAAAATTTCAGGGGCTCACTTAACCCATGTTGGATTATTTAAACTGCAAAACACTTCGCTGCTTCGTTAAAAAAATAAAATCAGTGAAGCAAAACCTCGTATATGAATGAGGAAACCTAATTTTAAAACTGCTACTAAAACACAGCACCTCCTGATGAGGTTTTGCTTTCACTTCCAAGGTGTCCCATCCTTTTTATTTTAATTAAGGAGATTCTCGATGTCATTAAATGAATTGTAGAAGTGGAGTTTGAGCTGTGATGATTTAGTCAGAGGTAGAAAGATTAACGATTATTGCAATCTCTTCAGCTTTAGGATAAATCTATGTGTAAATAAATAGAGGTGTATAGAGAGGCGTGTGTGCGCTTATGTATATGTATTTATATATATATATGTTATGCATATATACATTATGTATATATAATATTTATGTAAATATGTGTATGCACACAGATTTGATCATCGTTCACTGTAAGCATAAACTACCCACCAGGTGCATATATTTTATAGACACCATGACTTTCTCTTTCTGTGCAGTGTTGCAGAAAATTACCCCATGAATTTTTGTCTTTCTGTAGGGCTGTACGCAAAATGCTCCTCCCGTCTCTCAATGACACCCTGTAGATTTAAGTATTTTAAATGGTGTTTAATATCATGACAGAGGGAATAAAATCGGTTTGTAGTGGTGATAGCAGAAGCCACATCTCTGGGTAACAAGAAAGTAAGTTGAGTTTTAAACTCAACTTTCATAAGTTATAGTGTGAAACTAGGTGATGAAGGGGGAAAAAATCAGTTTTGTTTTTTTGTTGTTGCTTTCTAATTTTTTTTAAATTTAATTTTGTCGGGAGAGACGTGGGGTTGGAAAATCTCACGGCAGGGAGAGGAGAGGGCTGAGTAAGAAGGAGCAGAGAAGCGAAGGAGCCAGGCGCTGGAGGAGGTTGGGGCAGGAGTGTCAAGGCAGCCGAGGAGCACAGCAGCTTCCCCTGCTCCAGCGGGTCTCTCCCGCCCTTGTGCCACCCTCCCACCATTGCTGGGGACGGAGGGGTAGGGATGAGCCTTTCCATGAGGGAAAGGATGGATGCCAGGGCAGCCGCATCGCGGTGTAACGCGGGGCGAAGCAGCCCGGAGCTCCTGGGCCAGGCCACTTTTCTGCTCCTGCGAGGCAAAACGCAGCGGCAAAGCCGAAGCTACGCGTTGTCCCGTGTTAAAATTGTAGGAAAATTGTAGCCGAAATGCATTTTTTACGGCTAAATATTAGACAGTTTGATAAAGCTCTCTTAGCGGTACTCATAGAGATGCTAAATCAGGATCTAAATTTAAAACTTTATTTTGTTTTCTTTGGAAAGAAGTGTATTACTCACTCTCTAAGAGGAAAAAAATATTTGAAAATGCCCGAGAAATATTGTCACGGCAGAATTTCTTGCTGCTGGTACAAGGGCAATGTTATGAAATGAATAGCCGAGACAAATTACTGTTTAAGTTCCAGTGTCCTTGACGTCCTAAGCATTTTTTCTGGTTACAGTCTTCAATGGTGCTTTTAGTGCAAAGATTAATAAATCTTAGCGATGTGCTAAGAGCTAGGGGCTGACAACGTAAGTTGAACTGTGCTCCCTGGACTCTCCCGTGTGCCCGTTCCTCTTTAGCGCCTAATAATTCCCAAACGAAGGGAGGAGAGAAACGTATTTGGATGGGTGCGGGCCAAAAGGCCGTTTCTTTCTCCGCTCAATGCCCGCCGTGTCACCGCAGCACCACAGCCCAGTCTCCAAAGCTGCACGACCTTTACGAGCTCTCTTTCGCTGTCCAAGGAAAAGTACGAGAATAACTCAATGATGAATTTAGGCAGGTTGCGGAGGGAGGAAATAAAAAATCAATGACGAAGCTCTGAGTCTGAAATATACATACCCAGAGTCGACTCGAAAGCTGGTGCAAAAATCCAAACATCTCCTTTTATTATTTCTGCACAACGTGGCACAGTCTATGTATAATAAGCATTTATTCCCTCCTCCCCGAAATATGGAGAGGTGAATCAGGACAAGGATTCGCAGAGGTGAAAGTGTTAGTTTTTATAGGTGGGTTCTCTGTCCTATTTTTTTTTTCTTTCCGTACATTTAGACCTCTTTTTTCCCCTCAGTGCTCAGTTACTATGAAAGCAGGAGGCACAATACCGCTTATTTTTCCATTTCCTCTGTTTCCTTCAAACCAGCTCTAATTTGACCAAATAGCAGAGACAAAGCGGCCGCTGCCTGTCGCTGCCTTGGCCCACCAGGGCCCCGAAAGCTGCCTCTAAACTTGAAGCTTTACTAGTGGCGAGGCATTTCCAGTAAGAGTTAGGGTAGAAAAATTCTTGCCAAGCTTCGACCCTGGGGGATATTGTACAAAACGACAGCTCCTTATATCCAGCTCCCAGGGTGGCTCTGGAAGTGGCTGTTCTGACAGCCACCTCTCTCCCCATTGTGCTCCCCTCTAAAGGGAAGTGCACCCCCTTTTCCGTCCTGTGGGCACCACGGAGGGGTTTCGCCCCTCGAGCGGACCCCAGCCGAATTTCCCAAGGTCAAATCCCGAAGGGAGCGCACGGCGGGCCGGGGCTGAGCCCTCCGGCGGGCCAGTGTCCGGGGCGCACCGGCTTTGCTCGGAGAGCGAGAGCTCGGCGGGGCCCCAAGCGGGTCTGGCTCACCTAAATAAATAGGGAAAAAAAGAACAAAAAAGGAAAAGAAAAAAACCCCAGGATTTTGTGAAAAAATCAGCGCATGGCCGCCGTCACTGCCGGGAATTGCTTTTCCGAGGTCCGGTTGCTCGTTCGCCCGGGGCCCCGCTTTCGGCGCGGCGGGGCCGGGGCTGCGCTGCGCGGGGCTCCACGGGCTCCGTGGCCGTTCTCCACCGCCTCTGCTCTCTGCTCCTACCGCCTGTCCCCTCTGCTCCTGCCCCCAGAGCTGCTGGAGGACCTGTCCGAGAGCAGGGAGTGCGTCAACTGCGGCTCCATCCAGACCCCGCTGTGGAGGAGGGACGGCACCGGCAACTACCTGTGCAACGCCTGCGGGCTCTACACCAAAATGAACGGGCTCAGCCGGCCCCTCATCAAGCCCCAAAAGAGAGTGGTGAGTCGGGAGGGAGGGGAGGAGGGGGGCTAGAGGAGCTGCACCCCAAGCGACCCCAGTCAGCGCTAGCCACGGAGAAATTTGGGGCAAAGACGGGGAGAGCAATGGTGTATTAGTCTGGTGATCCTCTTGGCTGCAAAACTGTATTGGGGCCCAGGTTTGCAGGCCAAACTGGTCAAAAAGAGGGGTGACAGGGCTGGCAGTCTTTTGGGAACTGCTTGGGACCCACTCCCAGGCTCTGAGCTGGCAAAATCTCTCTCTGCCCCCTTGTGAGCTGCATATCAGGCACGGACCAGCCTGGCTTTTCGAGCTATGAACCCCATCTGTGAGGGGGATTCAGTGGCTTGGAAGAAATTTGTGCTGGTGATGTTGGACATTTTCAACAGAGGAAAAAAAAAAAGAAAAAAGAAATCAAGGTTAGAAAATGTTTGTTCAGAGGGCTAGGAATTTCTCCAGACCTGCTTTGTTTGCTGAGAGCTCGATCCTTGGGAATGTAAGCAAGTTTTGTATATAATTCAAAGAAAACCAATTGTTTAAACAATGATAATAGCCTTTGTTTTGTTTTACTCCTAAGAAATGAGCAGCAATTTTTCTAAAAATATACTCCTAAAACTAGGGGGGGAAATAAATAGTACAAACCAGAACCCCTGTTTATAACTCAGGCTGGCACTGAATAGGCAAGGAGAAAATTTAACAAGTGGGAACTGCACATTATGTTTAGCAAATCTGGGTGGAGGTCAGCAGACAGAAAGAATACGCTCTTCAGTAATGGCTGTTACCGAGCGAGCCACAATAAATCACACCACTATAATCCAAGCTGATGTTTGGACCCTTGTGTATGGAGACAGTGTATCAAACCCATCAGCCTTTCAAGCCCCTTTCAATCATGCCAGCTGCTTTGCTCCATGCCTGTTTTCCTTGGGCTAAAACACCTACTGTTCTTTATTTCACAACCATTTGAGTTTAGTGCCCTTATGGGAGCGAGGGGAAACAAGACCCAAACACACGATGATCAGAGCAGACAGTAAGCGCTTGGGAACAAACTCACCTCTGCTTTAGCCAAAGAGTTAATTTAACTTTAAGCCAGAGGTTTATTGCTGCTAGGTGCCTGTTTTTTCTAGCTGGTTGTCCAGTAAACTTCAGGGCACAAGGTGTTATCTCATTAGTGGGGACAGATGCAGTGGAGGGGCCAGATCTGCCGACTGTTTCAAGTGTCAGAGCCCGACTTGCTGTGGCACCCTGGCCCAAGGCAGATTTCAAGTAGCTGACACCGGTTCTAGCATTTCTGTGTCCTTTTTATTTTTTAAATTTTATTTATTTTTTGAGGGAGGGGTGGGAGTGAGAAGACTAAAGCAGAGTCAAACTGCAGCCCGATTTCAGTCTGACACCTCAGTGAAATAAGTCCGAAATAGCTCTGTGTAACAATCCCTACTGAGTACCCTGGCCATAACTATAAATCAGCCATGACTATGTGTTCATAGAGTTGGAAATATGTAGGTGAGAAGCGAAAATGTTTTGAAAACTCTAAACATGTTTAGATTGCCCCGAAGTTTCTGATAAAATTCCTGCATCAGAAAAGTCGTTCTAGCTTCAAAACATGCCAAAACTCCATGTCTGTTTAGATACGGGAATGAGCAAAAGCTATTGAAATAAAATGTACGAAGGTTTAGACCGGGAAAGAGAAAGATTTAACAGAGTGAAACAGCTGACAGCATTTCACTTGCAGAGAAAGAAAATGAAGCATATGTGTTACCACCAGCTTTCTTTTACTCAATGTGATCACCTAAAACACGTATCGAGTCGAGGGCACAATTTGAGTGCTGTGTGTGTACATATTTAATAACTAGGTCAAAACTTCTGTTTTCATGATACTTGGATTTTTAATATTAAAAACTGTATTTTTGTACTTCAGCCTATATAACACTTGGCTGGGTGGTTTGCTTTTTTTTTCTGCACAGTTGATAATGGATTACTGATTCAAGATTACAAAATTTGTATTTAATCTGGAACTCTTTCTGAACTGTGGTGCAAAATGACAGCTTACTGCTAAAGACACTCAAACAGACAATATTCAAGAAACTCAGTTATTTCTCTGGTATATTCTTAATTCTCAAAATATTTTTATCGGTTTCCCCAGTGGCAGGCAGCCCTGTGGTATCAAAGGTGACCCAGTTACGTCTAACAACCCAGCAGTAAATGACTCAAGAGGAAGGGCATTGTACCCTTAAGTTAGTAATTTCAGTTATGGGCACTTTATAGTCAGAATAAGATTAATGCAATCCTCTAAAACTGACTTCTCCGTGTAAACTTGTTCAGCTGCCAGACACAGAGCTAGGCACAGATTTTTTTTATATTTTTTTGACAATGCGATACTTTGAAAAAGACTAGATTTATGATGTAGCTGGAATTCTTTGCTTGTGAAGAACGTAAAAGAGATCACTTGTTACAGGGACTTTTATAACCCATTCACCTTCATTTCACATGTTTATGAGGACTGCCTTCACTTATGATATACAGCCTGTAGCCATAAAGCTTTGGGTTATACGGTTATTTCTGATACAGAGTTGCTTCATCTTGGCTCCAAACTCCACGGAAGAGTGTCATAAATGGCTTGTTTGCAGTGGGAACCTTGTTGTCACCCACCAACTTTTCTGCTGGCCAAGGGAGGCTCTGCTCTGTAAAACACGCTCCCAAGGCATGTTGTTTTTTGTATGAAGGTAAAATGGGTGATGATAAAAAGATCTTTTTTGAAAGTAATGCTGTTGTATGTGCTAGCCCTGGGTTGACCAGGAAAGCTTTTCTCAGATGTGGTGCCACCGAGGGCAGGTGATTAAAGTGTCTGAATTTTCCGATGAGTCAGGAGTATCAGTGGCAGGATCAGAGCTGCCTCTTCACCCACCATACAGGGGAGAGGGTATTGAACTGTCTGGAGAGGCGTCACAGGATTGATGCGCCTTCTCTTCAGCTTGATGGAGCTCTAGTGGAGATATTTCCTAGCTGAAAATGTCCTGCTGGAAAAAGTACCTAGTGGTCTGAACAGACTTTTCCCAGTCACCAGCTCCCAAATGAGAAGTTTGCCTCTGCTGTGACTGCCCAGGGTGGAAAGACATTCGGTACCTCTTCACACCATCTTTCCACTCTCTGATATGAGGATAATTCTGTTCTAATTCTGGGCTGTTGCTGACAGATACTATAAAAAAAAGCTCCTACCATCCCCGCCATGTGTTAAAGGACTTTTTACGAACCATAAAGACATAAATCATTCTCTCCTGCCCACCTGTTTATACCCGTGTTTGCCTGTGCTTGCCTCCAGCCTTCGTCGCGGCGGATGGGCTTGTCCTGTGCCAACTGCCACACCACGACCACCACCCTGTGGCGCAGGAACGCCGAGGGCGAGCCCGTCTGCAACGCCTGCGGCCTCTACATGAAGCTCCATGGGGTAAGTGGCCGCCTCACCAAGGGACATCCCCTGCCAGCTCTGAGGCTGCTTTGGGGAAGGGGCGGTCCTCGAAAAAACGACGAGCGAAATGCATAGAACAACAGAAAAATGTGTGACGTTAGAAAATGGTTGTGCCGCTTTAGCTTGCTGTGCTTCTGACTAGTTATGTGTTTGCTACTGTAGCTCTCCCAACAGATTTGAGTAAAGAAACCACCTCTGGATGAGCAGCAATGGTGTTTTTGCCACTGGGATTTAAACCAGCTCTTTAGCAGGGAAAAAAAAAATCCCTAGACCTTTAATGAGACAATTTTTCATGGACAGACACAGCTATGCCAGCAAAACTTCTGAGTGTAATTCAAGCCATAGTTATGCCAGAATAAATTAAAATGCAATTTCAGCCTTTGTTGGGCAATAATAGAGTAAAAAAGAGCTCTGTCCTGAATGTGATGGAGCATGTTTTGGGTGAGACCCCTGTGGATTGTGTTATAGTCAAGCATAAGTGTTTGAAGAGCAAGGGCATTAGGAATTATTGAGATGTGCTCTAGCCTTCAATAAAATGTAAATTATGTCAGGTTTAAATATTATAACAATAGAAAACACATGAATTGTCTTTCCTCAAACTGGTTAAATTATATTTTAAGCCAGTGTTTTTGTAGCGAGATTATCATTGTGATGAACACAAAAATGTTTTTTGAGGACATTTAAATATAAATTTATCCCTATAAATATAAATTTAGATATCATAAAGCTGTATTATCTACAGAACTGCTTATAGGAACAAGTGCTAAGTCAATTATTCTATTCTAAAGCTTCCATCCTAAGACGTTTCCTTGTGATGATCTGGTTTGCATAGCTGGTCCACCGGATGACTATGATTTTTTTCTCATACATTTTTTCTTTCCAGAATCAGGCACTGGAGATAATTCCTAACTGACTGGAATAATAAATCAAGGATCAGATATACCCCATCCAATTTAATTCTTATGGCTCTTTGCCAAATAATGCTGGTTTTCCCTAATTCTGTTCTCTTTTCCTGTGGATTGATTGAGGGGTTGAGAAAACTATCAAGTTTGCATAGCAAACTTTCGTGTGCATAGTACTTTTTTATTTCAGCTACAACCCCTCTTGAATCAAACTATTGTTTTGCCCAAATAAAATGCAAGCGTTTTTTAGAATTAGTACTGTGACACAGAAAAATATTGACTTGCTATACAGATAGTTGCAAAATCATATCTGGTCTTGTAGTGTATTTTGATTTTTGATATTAGAGTGCATATGCAGCTCTGTGATTGGAAATGTAACTTTTTCAGGTTCCTCGGCCTCTTGCTATGAAAAAAGAAGGAATTCAGACGAGGAAGCGAAAACCTAAGAATATAAATAAATCAAAGGCATGCTCTGGTAAATATAAAATACAAGAAAGTGTAGCTGCAATAGTTTGTATTTGTTTTGTTGTTGGTTTTTTTTTCTTTTTTTTTCTCTGTCTGGAAAATATTTATTTTTAATACCAATTCCTAATTTTTCAGGTAACAGTACTACTGCAGTTCCTATGACTCCGACATCCACGTCTTCTACTAACTCAGATGACTGTAGCAAAACTGCTTCTCCCGGTGCACAGACTGCAGCCTCCGGGGTAAGTGTCCGTATCTGCAAGCAGGTTGATGGCTGGGCAATGTTATCACAGCTTTTATCTTATCTAGCAGAACAATAATCTAAACAAACTTTCCAGTTTTGTTAGCTGATACTAGAACAAGATTTTCCAAGGATATTACATATAGCTGTAAACAGAACGACAAGAGCGATGTACTTTGCAAATCTTCTTGTTTAAGATCTATATAATTTTTATGGTTGTTAGCCGCAGCTTAACCACAGACATTTTGTTTTTAAATATTCAGGTTCTTTCATTTCAAAGGTTTTCTTTCGGACAGAAGACAATAAAATATGCCCAACTGATCCTTTCAAGAAACAATGTTATATATATGTATGCACACACACATTTGTATGCATTATCCCAGTGGGTAAAACCCAGAAAAACATTATCCTGCTGTATGAAGTAAATCATAAAGGCTTTTGTTTTAAACTAAAATGTGCAATTAAACCCTGATCCAAACCCAGCTGAAACCAGGCTGGAGCACCCTGATGATTGCAGTGCATGGGGGTTCAGCTCTCTGCCCACAGAGCTTTCTTCAGGGGCCAGATGCTCAGCATGTGGCAGCACCAAGCTCCAGAGGAGCACCCGAGTAGTGCTGATCATCCCCTGCTTTAGTTTTGATCCTTACTTTACATCATGTACTCCAACCATCTCAAACTTCCTTTCTTCACTCAGCATGTGTGATAAATACTACTGCTAAAGTTGTGAAGCTTAATGTAGATTAATTCCTAACCCCTTGGCTGTACCTATCCATATCCACACTCACTTCTCAGCCTTCTGTATCCCTTAATCTGCTACATCATTTCTTTGAGAAACTTTCCTAATGTGGTTTTCTTTAGTCCTTTATTAATGAAAAGAAGACATTGTTTATAATAGCTATTTTTCAGTATGTCTTGGTGTTCACAACATCCAAATTTCTTTCAATAGTTTAATTTCTGATGTACAAAGTTTCATTGTACAAGGGGAAGAAAAAACCATTTTTTAGCAAATGTGATTGTTTGTGGAGTGACAGGGCCACCCATTTGCAGAGGCAGTGGGTTTTGGGTTTGGATCCTGTGAGACTAGGATAGTCCTAAAAAGGCTTGTCTTTGACATGAGAAAACACTGTCAATCCAGTAAAATAAACAGACTACATCAAAAAAAGAGAAACACTAAATAAAAAGTGAACCATTGCAGTTTCAGAATTGGGTTTCAGACTCCCCCAAGGAACTACTATGCACTGTTTTAGGCTCTGCCGTGATATTTGCAAAGGAAAAAACGTAGCCAAATTTTCCTTAAATTTTCCTTGTGTTACCTGAAGCAGTACTAGTGATGCTGAGCAATGTGGTGAGATTTCTGTAACTGATAGAAATGGAAGCACAATCCCAGCCGACACTGAGGCAGCCCAGCCGTGTGCTGCTCAGGGAAGGAGAGGCCATATAGACAAGATCTCATTTCCACTGTGCTGCTGCCTTCTTGGCTGGCTAAAACCTGACTTCCTTTCTGTGGTATTTCTCCCTAGAAGGGCACATCAAACATGTTATTAATAATCTTTATGTTATAATTTTAGTAGTACCATTTTTAATATGGTTTTACCAGATGGAGTTGTGTGGGTACCAGAGGAGAGGGGTGCAGGGACATGGATTGAGGACTAAAAAACTCCTTAAGAGCTGTTAGGATCTAGGAGTAACTCCCAGGAGGGACCCTGAGGCTGCTCTTAGTTACATGATGGCATTCCCAATGACAGGACTTCAGTTCTCCCGGATTTTTCCATAGTAGATCAGACTGGGAGAGGACACCTGCACAACAGCTGGGAAAATCTGTCCCCTTATATCCAGCAGGCAGCACGGTAACATCTGTATAGCCTTTTCCCCACCATGATTTGATCAGATGTGCCTTGCATATGCAAAGCACTTGCAAATACCCCCTCGTGAAAAATTTCAATGAAAGGAAGTGATGGAGAGGGGCTGTGACACGTGCTGAAGAGAGGAAGTTACAGCGGCAACCAGACGTATGGGCATCCCTCCGACTCCATCCCAAATGATGTGAAGGGCTACTGATCTCCCACCCCCTGTGCCCCAGTCCCAGATGGACGTAAATGAAAAGAGGATTTGCAGGGGTGCAGTTGTCAGGATACATCACTGGCATGGTCACATCTTTCACTCAGGCTCCTGGCTTTGCCCAAGAGTGTGTAATTCAGAGGGATGAGGACTTGGGAAATTGGAAGTTTAAGATAGAAAGTGGTGACTGTTAAGACTGGCTCCTGTTCTCCCAGACATAATTTGGGAACATGATCACTAGCTGCAAAAGACACAAATTAATTCCTAAGGAATATAAATCCTATGGAAGGGACTGAGCACCCATAAAGCTCATTTAAGCTGTTTTGAGTGAAGGGATGTCAGCATTTTAGAGCAAGGCAGCCTGTAACCTGATCACATGCTGAAGCAAATATGCTCTGCTAGGCTTCTGTTTTCCTTGATTATTTTTACTTTTTCCTTTTGAATTGATCCATTGATAGATCAAAAGTTTGCAAAAGTTTGCAAAGCAACAGCTTTGCACAAGGAGAATAAACTTCTCCAACTCGTGTCAGGAGGGAAAAAAACAAACCCTCAGATGGATGAATCCAGGCTCCATAATCTTTGGTCACTTTAACAAGGTTGATGTTGATTCTTGACAGTGGTGCTGGTGATGTTGCTGAAAAACAGGCACCTGCTTGAATAACAAACCTGGCTTGTTCCCCCTGTTACACAACAGGCATGGCAACTTGTTTGTGTTTTACTCTGCTTTTGCTTCTCTAGCATTTATTCTGTGAAAAAGGGGAAAATGCCAAATTGACATTAGGCAGAGAAATCTGATGACGTTTTAGAAACTGTTGTGTGAAATTCACAGCAATGTTGTTGCTAAATGAAACAGAGAAAACGAATTCCTCTACTGGTACAAAAGCAATTTATTATGCCTTTTGTGGGAGGCTGCCAAAAAAGTTTCCAGTTATGTAGAAATCTAATGGAAATGAAATTCAGCAGAATTTGGTTGTGTCAGTAACATTCACTTTTTGCCCTACCTTTCTTTATCTCTTTCAAAGTAAAATAAAGAAGGGAGGGCAGAAAAAGAGGAGGGCAGCAATTACTCTTGGCAATGTCTTTGAGACTATCCATTTCATGAAGAGAATCTTATATGATGCCAATTCTGAGACAAATTAGCAAGAACCTTAAATGTTGATTTTACGTTCTAGCTGAAGTTTAAACATTTGAGAGATACGATTAATGAATTGCTGTGAGGGCAAAGTTGATTTCAAACATCCCAAAATGTAGAAGTGTTTGGATCGGAGATATTTCGTTGTCCCATTGTAAAGGGGCTATTTGCCAAATTCACATCTGGATCTAGGATTTAGGCCTATTTCTGTTTTCCTAAGCAGTATAAGTACTGGGTGTCCTGTGTTACTAATATGGAAAGCGTCCAGCTGCATGTTATATGAAGTTGCCTTATGTCCCCATAAAAAGAAGATGTGCAGGTTTGCCTGCATCTGCATCTATACCTGCTTTCCCTTTGATGCTGCTGAAACTGTACAGGAAAAAGCTCCACCAAATAAATTGCAAAATGAAGAGCATAGTCTGCAGTGCAAACCCATCCGTTACCATGCAGAGGCTCCAACAAATGTGATAATCAGAAGGACTTTATTCCCTTATTAGGATAAAGGCAGTATGAAACCTGTTGTAAAATCTGCTTTTTACAGCAGGATATGGAGGCTCCTTGAGCCACAAGTAATGTCAGAAAAAGCTCAGCAACACCAGGGGAACTTTTCTTTCAGAAGACTCTCCTGTGTCCTTTGTCTCCAGTTTGGAGTTTTCTCTGAAGGACCATAATCTCACACAGCAGAAAAACTTAGGAGGTAAAACTAGTGCTTACTTCCCTTGGAGGTTTACCATAAGAAGTGGTTCAGGACTGGCTCTTCAGTTTCATAAGGTGGGAAATGAGAGAGCTGACTGAGATGGCCTTGGCATGTGGTGAGCTTGCAGGAAAATGCAGTTTTAACTCTTTCCAAAATGCTGGACTAATGGGGCTGGATTAGATGAATGGCTTCTGCATTTGCTTTCTCTCTTTTTCTGTCAGAAGAAGATTTGTGAGCTGGTTGGAGGTGCTGTTGTTTGCTCCTGTTTAGGCAGTAAATTGGTAGGACTTTCATGCTGACTACAGGGAAATCAGCCTCCATAGAGTATGTCTCAAAGTCTGGATGAACCAGAGATTCAACTTCTTAAAGCCATATGCTAACCTGGATATTGTGCAGTTGAATGTCCAGGAGTCCTTTGGATTATCTGATGATAATATGTCAGTTGTGTGGAATAATTTTGTAGGCGTTGGGAGAGAGTTTCCATGAGAAAGGCTCACCAGCATGGTTGCTAGGACTTTTACCGGGAAAATGGGAACACGGTGCCTCAGTCCTGGTATGAGTAAATATTTATCTAAACCAGGTGGAATAAGATCAACAGGAGGCATGAGGTACGTGGCAACCTAAAATACCAAAGAGCATGGCAGACAGGGCAGTATGCTGGGAGATTTGGTACTCTAGACTCTAGTTTAAATTTTTCTTGGTTTCCTACCTCTTCTGCATCAGTCCTCACTCCTGGACAAAATGGGATGCTACTTTCTTCTCCCCACTCAGTTTCACACACTGATTCTTTTTCTTTTACATTGAGTAATTTTATTTGCTCTGTGTATATGTATCCAAAAGACAGCAGTTCATTTTTATATCAGAAGGAAGCAATCCAGCTTTTTTGTTTCAGTGGGGAAAAGCAAGGAAAAAGTATTTTTGCTTCTATCCCAAAATTCTATATGCATATGGATACATACCTTTTGCTTGGTTTTGTTTTATTGCCAAAGCAATAAAGCCAGTTATTCATACAACCCTTGACAGCAGTGGGTCATCAGTTTTCCAAGCCATGCGGGAAGTTGCCTCCCTTAGGAAATTAATGAAGTATTAACCACAGATTTATGTTGCTATAATACAAAGGAGAGATTAGAAGACATGTAAACTTACACGTCTGCAGTATAAACAAAAGGATCAATCGGACTAGCAAGAAATGACAACTTTGTGTACTAAGAGGGTCGTTACATCAGTTAAAAAAGCTGTCATTTTGCAGTGCCAAGACTTGCTCTTTGGATTCCAGGGAGTGACAGTGTTGGGAAAACTTGCTCTTTGTGGGGATGCAAGTTATTGCAGAGAGGCTGAGGCTAGAAAATTAAGGACTCCACTAGTTTGCCACAACACTTTATATATGAAAGAATTCTTTGCAAGTGTATTTAATTGTCTGTAGTTATCATTTAAGTGTTGCAAAAGTAAACTAGGCTAACTGAGGAGGAAGAGATTCTCAGCTTAGACTTATTGCTTATTGCTGACTTAGTGTAATGTCCAAAATTCATGGAGCATTTTGAACGTGTTAAGTGGATAGGGCAAAGGTCTCTCTGACAGACCAAAGGTCTAGATCAAGGCCCTTTGCCACCCCCTCCAGCTGTCCCTGCCCAGCACATTTCCCTCTTGGCTCTGGAGGTGTGGGGGAAGGAGGGGAAAGTGTCCATCCCCTCTCCCTGCTCTCTGTGGTGGGCAGACAGGGCAGGAAGGAGTGGGTGGAAGAAAGCAGGAGTCTTTCAACCAGAGCTGCTGCTGCTGTTCCCCGAGTACTGTCAAGAGCAGCCTGAGCAGTCTGATTTTGGTCTGGAGCAGCTTTAGTGGGGGTAAATTTGCCTCTAAGGTGCTGACAGCAGGTTTGGGTACCATCTAGTTGTCTCTGTGGCTCTGACACAGGTCTTCCTCTGTACATGACAGGCAAGTTATCTACAAAAAGGCCACTTCTGATACAGACAACCCACCTGGGGGCTGACTCATGACCAGCTCCTCCTGGTTTGGGTAAAAAGAAGAACCTTTACAGATAAAAACACAACCCACCTGTTTGTTTGGGAGGCAGGCTCTTCCCAGTAGGCTTCATTCATTTTCTCCTCTGGAAGTTGACTTTCAGTTGATTATCTATGCTATTATCAGATTTCATCAATAAAAATAAAGGCATTGCCTTTTTATAGATAGAGCCGGTAGCTGTGAATTAGATCTCACTGACTTCATCAGCATTGTTCAGCTTATTTATTTCAGCTGAATAAAGTCCTCTAATAACTAAGTGCAACTTCTGTCATCTTTCATCCCTTAAAGCTGGAAAAGTGAGAGCAAAGGCAGGGAGGCTCAGGAACAGAACTGTGATTCCGTCACGTCCTTTTCATGAGCTGAAGTTTGTTTTCCATGTCTCGCTTTGGGAGCTGCCCAAGCTGCCTGGATTTGTCATGATATTACTGGGGTGGGGTTTCCAGGCCCAGCAGTCTTGCCCAGGTCCTGCCAGTCCTGGCTCAACAGAGCCAGAATGCAGCCTTGGACAGGCAGGGATGGGATGGGCAGTCTTCAAACAGGATGTGCCTCCATGTCCTCCCATCTGGGGTGCCCGAGGGAGGGGTACCTGATAGCCCCATATGGAAACTGTGGGTCCCTGCACCTCACCTTTGTAGGGCTGAATCAGGAAAAGATGAATTATACTTTCCAAGCCCGGAAAAAACAGGTACTGATAAGATATTTGCCTACCAGAACAGCAGTGGCAAATATGGGCAAATGGGAACCTTTCAAAGTAGCTCCTATTATTTTTAGCTCAGGTTGAGCAAACACTGCTCAGCACTAATTTAAACCCTTCTTCCACTGTGGGGAGACTGAAGCTGTTAAAAATTATGTCTTTTGTGCTAACAGAAATCTGTTGGAGGTGTTAGAAATAAAAGGAAGTCTTTGAAAAGGCTAGACTGATGCAAGATCAGGACTGTACACAAAGGTTAGCATGGAACCTGCCTCACTGAATTCTCCGTGCACAGTCACAAGGAAAGAGGAGTTGTTGTCACTGATTGGCAACTGTATGTTCAAGGAAGTGATAAAACTTATTTCTTAGGTTTAGAGCTGTTTCAGCTGGTTTTGAAGGACAGATAGTGTTTTTTCCTTCCTTCCCGGCATTTCTGGGTAGTAACTAATGGAGCAGGATCAGGGTTGATGACTGGTGGTGGTCAATCGTTTCAATAAAAGGTTAAGAAAATATTGGAGCCCAGGTTATTTCAGACAAAAATGACTGCTAGCAGTGAGTATCTTCTGCAGAAGGTGAGGTTTTCCCTGGGTTAAGAACAGCAACAAGAGCCCTGCACCACACCATTTGGAAATTACCTCTGAATAAATGAAGCCTTGCTTTTCCTATGTCAGGACTGCTAGCTTGGCACAGCTCCAGGAGAGCCAAGAGCTCTACTCTTGTAAAATGATTAAATATGTATACTTTGTACTTAAACAGCAGGCCGGAAGCTTCTGCAGTCGCAGTTTAGGATAACATTTTTCTTTTTTTTTTTTTTTTTAAGGAATTTCATCCAAAGACTATCCATTAACAAGTAAATTAAGGTTTTAAAGTTGACATATCCAAGAGTTAATTTTGCATGAAGTCAGCTCTTAAACATTTCCTTTATCAGGTGAAAATGTTGCCCCTTCTCTGTCTGGCACTGTGGATTTTTCCTCTTTGGCGGATCTGCTCAGGCTCATGGAAAAAATGATTGTTCCTTTGTCTTTTTAACTCTCCATTTCTCTAAAATAAATGGACTGGTTCCAGTGTGGTTCAGAGGTTCATCTCCGTGCCTACCAGGGTTCCCCTGCATGTCATCTTGTGCAGGCAGCAGAACAAAAATGCTCCTGCTTTGAAGGCATAGTGTTTCTCCACAGGAGATTGAAAGAGCATCTCCTTTAGTGGCCAGTCCTACAGGGATAAAATGATTTTGGCTGGCATTTTGAAGGGTCAGGAATGATTTTAAGCATTTCAAGGGCTGAAGAGCCCAAAGAAATCTGCTTTCCAGGAGGTGCTCCGTATCTGCTCCTGGAGAATTGGAATGTATCAGTCTTCTCCCATGGGAGAAAAATCTAGAGCTGCCGCTACTCTCAGATCACACTTTTTTACGTTGTCACCTGTGTCTCTTCAGTAGGGGGCAGTGGGACACATGCACATTTCCTTCTTCATCATGAGTTGATTTCCAAGTTTTCTGCACATCACACAGTTTTGTTTCCACCCCTCCAAACACAGACATCACTCCCATCAGCAAGGCTGGGCGACTGAACTCACGCCGAGACATCTTTTTTGTTTCAGGATTTCAAGGCACAGGGGCAAGCAGAGAGCAAACTCTGTTTTTGAACAGAGCTCCTGTTATGATGGCTGTGTGCTCTCACTCACACCCCAGTGTGTGCAAAGCTCACCTGCTCAACGAATCTCTCTTTGCTCTCCCCTCCCTGCAGGCGAGCTCGTCGGTGATGTCTGGCCCGGGAGAGAGCACCAGTCCCGAAAGCAGCAACCTTAAGTATTCAGCTCAAGATGGGCTGTACACAGGAGTCAGCCTGACCTCCACGGCCGAGGTGACAGCATCTGTGAGACAGGACCCCTGGTGTGCCCTGGCTCTGGCGTGACCTGGTGTGAGGGAAGCTGGATCCTGGCAGCCCCCAGACATCTGCGCGCAGTTTCCTCTGTGGAGCGGTCGCAGCGGCAGCGAGAGTGCTGGCAAAGACCATTCCTCTGAAACAGTTTTTGAGCCTTGGTGGCAGAGGTGTTTTTCTACTTCCGAATGAGGCTTTGCTGGAGCATCCAGTTCCTCATCTATGCAAGAAAAATGTACGGAAAGCAAATGACCACCGGGGATAGCTAATGCAGCCTTACACTCTCAAAAAACCCCTTCAACCCCCCCCCAACCCCCCCCCCCCCCCAAAAAAAAAAAAAAAAAAGGGAAAAGAAAAAGAAAAAACAACAAAAAAGAAGAGATAAACCCACGCCTATTGATAGATTCCAGAAATACATCCTCGACTTACCCAACAGCGCTGCATTTCTGATTATATAATTGTTTTCACTCTCTCATCGCCTTTTCCCCTAAGAATTTGGTGGAAGTTGTCAGTGTCGGGAAGAGAGTAGCAAAGACTTTAATTGCCAGAGATAGTGAGATACTTTTTAATGAATGTCAGAAGTGCTTACAGCTTGAGTTGACGCAGACTTCTCGCACCGAACATTTGATGTCTTCGCCCCTTCAGACCTCTCCTGTGCTCTCCATCTTCAGCGTGCCTTGCTCTGCTCTTCAGAGCCCAGCTATGTCCCTGGAAGAAATCACAATGTTTGGTACAAGTCTCACACGGTCCAGCTGGTTAAGGAGATTTTGGGATTGGTGTTTCTTTGGTTTAAAATATTTACTCACTTTTCAAGACTGCGATATAACTTTTAAAGTACACTGTGACTGAGATTTATGAAAGTCCGTATGTCCTGGCTGAACTGTATAGAGTCAGTCAAAATTTGTAAACAGGGTAGCAATCAGATATTTTTTCTTCCATATATACAATAATTTTTTTAAAGAAGTGCAATTTGCGTTGCAGCAATCAGTGTTAAATCATTTGCATAAGATTTAACAACGGTTTTTATACGAATGAATGAATGTAAACATTTTAACTTAATGGTACGTAAATAATTTAAAAGAAAACCTTAACTAGGCATCCTTAGGCTTTTTAGCGCAACAAAAATGCATCCACTTTCTGTATTTCCAGTTGTTAAAGCAAGAGTTTCAAAGAACAAGCCTTCTCTCAGGAAAATTGCCCTAGCTATTTGCTCCAAAGTGTCGTACAAAAATGCAAATGCATCCCCAAGGGGTTTTTCTTGCCATTGAATAAGTGTGTGGTGGAAAGAAACAAATCGCAATGAAACTGTACTACCTAACTGATACATATGTAAATACTACAGAAGATATCTAGGCATCTTGAAAATGTAGGATGCAATCTGTATAGTGTGACTGATGCATAGTTAGGTTGGTTTTCATTGGTTTTTAAGTGGGACATCATTTGAAAAGTTGTTTCATCAGAGCTTTACAAATAAAAGGGTATCATTTTAGGATTTTTTTTTCTGTACAGTGTGCCTTTTCCTTTGTCTTGAACACAATTGTTAAGCTACATTAAAAGCTATGGAAATGTACCTGGTAGAGGTGGCATGTCTGATGGCTGCAAGGAAAGTCTCCAGCTGAAGTGCCTGCTAAGTCTGCACTGTGTGCTTTTTCTGCAACTCCCTTCACTACACCTTCTAATGATCTGTAGAACTAGGGCTTCCAGCTACCAACACAGGCTCCTCATGGGCATATGTGAGGTTTTTGTGAAGAAAGTCTGGGGAACTGAGTCCGTCCCCTGTGAGGATTATCATTGTTTTGCTTGCCCTTCACACCATAGCTAAAGGGTGTCACGCAGGCTCCCTGAGTAGGCAGATATCAGAACATTACCCACTACAGATGTAACTGCTGAGTGGCAGAGGCTTTGAGTGCCTGCTGGCATCTTCCTGTGGCCAAAGGTGAAAGGCAGCAAAAACTGAAGGCACTGCTGCTGAAAAGAGAAGACAGTGAATTTTAGTACTAAGCGAAGTGGGAAACCTTTTGCAGGCTCTGAGGACTGGTTCTTAATTACTCAGCTCATTGGAGACAGACTTATTGCCAGGTGTGATTTCCAGCTATCTCAGCAGTGCTGTTGGACTGGGAAGCCAGGATGCCCAGCCTCCATACCCATGGAGAGGCTGCAGTGTGTCTCTGTCTCTCTGTGCCAGACCCTCTTTTGGGGTGAACTGGGGTAGCTCCTAGGCCGGCAGGGAAGCTATGCTGTCTTGCACCAGTCAAGAATCTGCCTCTTGTTTTCCAAACGTGACAGTTGAAGCTGCTTCCTTACACTGGAGGTTGTGAGGACTGTGGGATGAGCACTGCAGCACAGCCCCAGGAGGAAAACTGATCCTAGCAAAAAGGGATCAATTGAGCCTTGCCTGGGGTTTGGGTTGCTGTGGCCAGCCAGGAGTGGACATCACTCACCCTTCTTGGCAGGATTGTCATGCCATGCTCAGTGCTGGGCCACCTCATGTCCTGCCTGCCTGTGGATTAATGTAGCCAGGTACCCCAGCCCTGCTAGCCCTGGGACCATGTGGGCTTGCATCTTGTGATTTACAGAAATGAATACCTATCTTAGTGCAAACTGAGCCATGCAGAGAAACACTGGGCTCAAAACACAAAAGGTGTGGACATGAGGGTGGAAATCTTTCCTCTTGGAGCATCTACTGGCTAAAATGCCCTTATTTGTGATTTCACAAGTGTTGGCACTTAAATGGATAAAAAAGCTGTTGCTAACTTGTGTTGCATAATGTTCAGTCTTAGCTAGCGTCAGCATCCTTGTTTCCTTTTTCTTTTCCATTTTTCTTGCCAGGGTGATATTTGGTGTGCACTTCTGAAAATCTTAGCACATAACCTATACCTGCTGGGTGTGTCAGAGCTGCATTGCTCAGTTACCAATAAAACAGTTACCAACAGACCAGCATGTTCCAGTTTCAGGCTGCTGACTCTGCAGAAAATGTCATCTGGTTGCTGATGCTCTTGCTGGTGGTCTGTGGAAGGCCACGTTGCTTTGAAACCCTGTGGTACCTGTTTAAGAGGGCTCCTAGGAGGGCCAGCTCCCTTCTCAGCCCTACCTTAGCCCAGGGTCTATCTTAGAGTGGTTCCTGCACATAATAGGTCTTGCAGGGGGCATATAAAGAGATGCCCTATGTGAAAACCTTCCTCTTGCACCTGAGGATAAAAATGCTCTTTTAGGTGATACCAGGAGAAAAAAAAAAGCCTAGAAACCCCCAATATTTCATAGGGAGGGTGTTTTCAATTATTTCTTATCAGCAAAAAAATCAAGAATGGAATGCTTTGCCTCCTTGTACCAGAAGCAAGACTGTCAGGTTTTCAATCCTCTATAAGAGTCAAAGAGGATGCAGCACTATGTTGCCTTACTGAAAAGGTGCTGAGGATCTCAAAGCCAGCTTCTGTGTTATGATTTTACATTGAAAAAGACTGTGAGAACATACCTCCATACTTACCAAAACTGGTCTTCAAATGTACTGATTGCTGGAGCTGCTACTCCAAAATAAAGGTTTATTTTTTTTTTAATAATTATTTCGCGTTTTAGTCCTACTGAGCCAGCACAACTCTGAGTGTGTGAGCTGGACTTTGCTCTGGCTCTTATATTGTTGCTATCACTGCTCCTGATGGAAGGCCTGGCCAAAAGCTTTCCTCACTTATCACCATTTCTCTGCAGTGACAGCCCTGGGCTGGGCTATGAAAGAGCAAAGAAAGAGTTTGACCATGAGTTTTGGTTACTAGTGAGGCTGAACAAGCCAGGTTCACCCCAGAGCATCTCTAGTACCAGAATGAAGCTTCAGAGTTGACATTTGGAGGTCATTTGACATTGGGGGGAAAAGGCATATGGCCACTTGTCATGTTAGCACCTTTTCTCTGGAAAGAGTAAAAATTAAATACCAAATGTCCCAGGGCATCTGCTTCAGGGTCAACCCACCGAGCAATATTAGAAGGCTCGAATTTGCTTGAGTGACCCCTCAAGATCAGACTGCTTTCATCCATGTGTGCTACCCTGGCCTCCAATCTTCCCTAGGTCCTAGATCCTGTTTTAGTAGTATTCCTGACACTCTCATCCATAATCATATTTTCTTCTTCTCAAAGTGCTTGAAATAAGATGAGGTCCCCACTGTGGCTCAGAGTGGTATTTTTCAGCATGGCAAAGAGGGTGTGTACTGGTGTGATATGAGCAGATGCAACAGCTGCCAGGCTTGGGTTGGTGACCCAGAGAACCAACCCAGACAAAGAGAATCAGTTTTGGGCAGGCTGCTCAAAGGTTTCCTGGCAGTTTCCAGAACTGCAGGTGGGCTTTCTTCCCTGTGACTGATCAGAGGGCAAAAACCTGGGTGTGAAGTGAGGAGCCAAAGTAGCTGATTTTTGGTTTCCTGCTGCAGAGCTAGAGAAACCCTTATATCAGCACTGTAATATTTGCCATATAGAACACGGGTAATTTAGTGTCTGTTCCTGCACAAAAATGATATAACTTCTGCTCCTTTCTAAGAGAAGAAGGGATTTTGGAATGGCATCCTGTCCTTGCTATTGTGAGTCTTAGTTGAGCACAGGCTGCAGAAATCCAAAATGGACTTCAATTCTTCCTGTGTGATCACAGCTCCAGATCTTCCTTTATCCAGCTGTCATGAACTTCATTCCTCACAGATCCTCCAGTTCCTAAATCTGTATACACTGGACATTCCAGGGTTTTGTCAAACACACTGAATTCAGTATTAAAATATAGGGCAAGGGTTGTTGCAGTGGGCCAGCGAGAAGGAAACTGAAGGCTTGAGGAGCATTTTCATGTGCCTTCTGCTCCATATGTTGCAAAAGGCTTGAGACCTTCACTACATATTTGAAACGTGTTTTGGAAACACTTCTTAATATTTCCTCAAAGCTATCTGATGGAAGCTGGTATTGTATCTAGGAGAGAGGGGTAGAATTTCAGAGAATCACAGAATCATATAGGTTGGAAAAGACCTTCAGGATCATCAAGCCCATCCTTTGATCTTAAATTTAGGTGCCTGGGTGGACAGGCAATCAAACAAGAGCTGCCAGTATTGTAGCCAGAAGTGCTAATGTACTCCTTGAACAAATAATCAGGAAAACAGTGAGTAGGAGTAAGCAGGCAATTTTACTTTGGAATGCTGCATCCAGATGTGGCACCCACATTTGAAAAGGGTGTTTAGAAATTGGTTAAGATAGGGAAAAGAATCACTAAAATGATTTATGAGGAAAATATCTGGTCTTGATAAATTTAAAGATCATGGTCTGCTAAGAGTATCTAAAGGAAGACTACAA